AACAGGTCTTTGAGTTCCATGGCCACTCTGCCCAGTTGGTCCCAATCTTCGGTTATAACTTTTAAGAAAAACACACACATGCACAATCAAAATGTACGGGTGGCTGGAAATTATGAATTTTTTGTTGTCTTTTTATAAAAAAGTACTAAAAGTTGTCTTTCTAGAACTATTTGGAACTTCATGAAAACCTTATCCCTATTGACAAGTCCACAATCCATTGGATTGTTTTAAAATACGTTTACATTGTTTGCTATATTATCTATCATTATCCATTCTATATACTTCTGTCCACCAATTCTTACCAAATGTACGCCCCCAGAAGATTTCTTTAGCCTTTGAAATTCTCACCAAGAAAATTTCACTATATATAACCCATAATCAGCAGATAACCCTCAAAATCCCTCAATTTTTCTTCTCCAAAACAAATAATCCACTTGGGGGGTTTGCATTTGTTTGGGTTCATAACTCTAACCTTCTTAATCAATCCAACCTGTTCACAACCATCATTTCAATGAAAATCACATTTTTTTCGCTCAAATCTTGTCATTTCTTGATATGATTGGCCATTTTATTACAACACTACTTTTCCATAGAATTAAGCTTGTCCAATCATTCTCCGTCGTTTTCCTTTATTGGTTTTATGTTTTTTCATTGATCCCTTGATTCAAATTTTCATTAATTCCTTTCTCATAATCTCTAACCCCAAAAAAGCAGAAAAAAAAAGCTAAAAAATTTCCAATATACCATCAAAAGTACACATCTCTCTTTTCANAAAAAAAAAAAAAAAAATGTCATCATCAAGGAAGATAATTAACAACACGAGTTCCTCGGATAACGATGACGAAGGCCGGTACGCGAAAATCACGGACGAGAAGAAGAGAAAGAGAATGATTTCGAACCGCGAATCCGCGAGACGTTCGAGAATGAAGAAGGAGCAGCACATCAAGGAGTTGAACGAACAGGTGGCGTATTTCCGGGCCAAAATCGACGAGATTGTTCGGAAGATAAACGAGATTGGGCCCAAGTACGCGGCCATCGAGTCCGAGAACAGAGTACTGAGAGTGCAGGCTGAGGAGCTGGGCCAGAGGCTGGAGCTATTGCAGCAACTGTTGGTTTCTTGCGAGAAAAAATCGCGTGATGACGTGGCGGAATATGTCTTGCAGGAGCCGTGGCTGCAGCTTGCTGCTTTTCAGTCTCAGGCTGTTGATGGGATTTATCAGTTTTGATGGAAAACTTTACCAAATGCTTCTTTTTTGCTTCTTTTTGTGTGTGTGTGTGTGTGTTTGATGTGTAACATCTCTTTTTGTTGGGAAAAAAAAAAAAACAGTTATAAAACTTGGGTTTGACGGGATCTTTACTGAATTTTTGATGGCTTTTGTTTATGGGTTTTAGAATTTGATCAAATGTTGGATTCTAGAAATGGGAAATGTTTCTGGTTTCGTCAATCTTTCTGATCATTGGTAGATGACTTTATTGCCTAGAATTTAGTATAATTTTTGTTCAAGTGTGTTGTCAAAAATTGAAGTCAAATTAAACCTATATAATTATGGAGATAAGAGCCATATGATATTCTAGAGTGGTTACAATTATGGAAAGTAAGAGCCATATTTATATGCAAGGATTTTGATAAGCAGAATTGAAGATGGAGACAATAATATCTTCCAAATCCAATAACATATGCCATGATAAGGCTTCGTCTCGTTAAAACCGTACCATGAAGCTATTTGATTCTGTAAAATCATGCTATGAGATCCTACGTAACTTGGTAGAAAAGCATGAATAGTGAAGAATTTGTCCGAAAATGCTTTCAATAGATCAACAATAAATGTTTAAATAAGTAGAGATCCAATGTGAACAAGAGATAAAAAGACAACAACTACTACATTGACTTTTTGGGAGGTTACATCAAATGCAACAAGTGGAAAATCAAAATGCCAAAAAAGGTTTAAAACTAGCGATCCCTCTTGTATAGTTAAATTCCAATAAGCACCAACATTATTAGAGGTCACATCATGTGGCGAAAAAACTAAATATCGATCATATATGTATGGTCTGTTTAGATTGATTTTCGACATTTCAAATGAAAGTCTAAGACCAAGATTAACACTCGTCTCGTGTAACACTTGAAAATATTATTACTTCTTATTAAAACATTTCAATTACAATCATGTTCCCAAAATTATGAGATAAACATGTGGGTTCTGATTCTTGTGCAGACAACATATTGCCTCAATGGTGAAGCTCTACCACCTTCTTTACGACTGCAGATGTTTGCGGATCATTATATATTGAATTTTAAGTTCTTTTTCAATAATCAAATTATAATCATGATGATTCATACCACATACAAACAATCTTAGCCCATTGGACAGGGGAAAACGGGGTGCGGTCCCACCAAGGGCGGATCTAGCAAAAATAATGAGTGGGGGCCTAATGATACCAAAATTTCCTCATATCTATTTGGATTTAAAGTATCTCATTTTGGGACATCTTTATAAACACGGTTGACAAAGCATTTTTTTTAAAATATCTCTCTATATCTGATATACAAATAATATTATAAATTCACAATCAATTGAAATTCTCAATTTTGACATATGACACTTTAAAAAGCTATAAGCACATTAGGGATTGAATTTGTAATTTCTACATAAAAAAAAAAATAAATTTACCATTACCTAAATAATTTTAAGAAAAAATAATTTTTACCTCCACCAAAATAAACATAAAGAGATTTCGTTACCTCGCAAGTCGTATTTTAAATAATTGAACCAAAAATCAATAAGTCTTTCTTTTCTCTCTTTCTCCTCTCTTCTTTCCCCTCTTCTCTTTATTTATTTATTTATTCATTTTCCCCTGCGTGACCTTTACTTGGCTTGGCCAGACACTCTTAGAGCACCCACAATGCATTGGGTCTCTTACTAAAATATCATATGACACATAAGAAATAGACTTAGTCTATAAAAAAATGTCTCCCAATGCAATTAAAAGTGGACATGGTCTAGCTTATGTGGCAATAAAAAAAAGCACCAACAAGGAGGAGTAGCCCATTAGACTTATAAGGTGAGTCTATTTTTCCTGTATAAACGATGTAAGACAACTCACAAGTGATATTCTAACAATAAATTAATTATATATATATATATTTATTTATTTTAAAAACTATTTCATCATTGAACTTATATCAAAATTTAAATATAGTTGTAATACTTTATTACAACTATCGAACAGCACCCGAGCTCATAAGAGCTCGACCTTTAGCCTTCACACCATCGAACAACACCCGAGCTCATAAAAGCTCGGCATTAAGCCGTCACACCATCAAACATCACCCGAGCTCATAAGAGCTCGGCCTTAAGCCGTCACACCATCGAACAGCACCCGAGCTCATACGAGTTCGGCCTTAAGCGGTTATACCATCGATGAGTACCCGAGCTCGAAAAGCTCGTATGTTGTACTACTTTTCGAGTTGTTTACACTTAGCGAAAAAAGAAAAAATTGCTCAAAGAATATTTCAGAATTCATAAACTTGCCATCCATACTTAGTTCATTCATCAACCGCATCACAAATATTTCAAAAACCATTCAGAATTACAATCAAATTAGCAATAATACTTTTTGAGATTGGCAACATTCCAAGGCAAGACCTTACCATCTGAATCCTTCAACTCATAAGCTCCTCCTGCAAACACCTTTTGAATGATGTATGGCCCTTCCCAATTTGGCTTCAATTTCCCAACATGTTTAAGCACATCAGCTCTCCTCCACACAAGATCACCAACCTGAAACTGCCTCTTTTTCACCCTTTTGTCATGAGCTATACACATCTTCTGCTTATACTTAAAGCTGTAAACGAACCTAACGTTCACGAACAAAAGCTCGTTCGAGCTTGTTCGTGTGCGACAAAACCTCGTTCGTTTGTTAATCGATCCAAGTTCGAACAAAATATTAGGCTCGTTTAATAATCGAACGAATACGAGCTCGTTCGCGAACGTTCGATAATGTTCGCGAACATTAATTTAATATATTTTTATTTTATTTTTATATATTTTATATAATATTTTTAATAAAAAATCTAAAATTTAAAAATATTTTTATTTTATCTTTTATTTTCGAGTTCAAACGAGTTCGAACGAGCAAATTTCGAGTTAATCAAAAATATTTAAAAAGTTTATGTATTAAATTATTCGAACACGAACGAATTCGAACTTTGACGAACAATTAAACGAACGAGCTAGAACACGATTTTTTGCTCGAAAGACAAACGAGCGAACACAAACACTGTTCGAACGTAAAAAAAGACGAGCTCGAATAACCCAAGCTTGGTTCGGTTCGGTTCGTTTACAGCACTACTTGTACTGCATTGTCTTCAACCAGGCTTGATCTCGTGTTTCATCTATCAGCTCAAGTGCATCCTTAAACCAGCTCCTCATTCTGCCCCGCCTCGAAGGTGGTTGTTCTTTGAGAGCTAAGATCAATTTCCACTGGAATAACAGCTTCCATTCCATATACCAAGCTAAATGGTGTTTTCTCTGTCGTTGATCTTGGCGTAGTTTTGTATGACCAAAGCATCGTGCCAATCTCATCCACCCATGCACGTGAAGCTTTACCAAGCTGAGTCTGAATCCTCCATAATATGGTTCTATTGGCCACCTCTACCTGCCTATTTGCTTGTGGGTGAGCTACTGCTGCAAAGTGCTGCTTGATGCCCATCTCCTCACACCAAGCCATTATCTTCTTTCCCTGGAATTGTGGGCCATTATCTGAAACTATGACTCGTGGGATGCCATACCTGCAACATATGTTAGTAAAGAAGAACTTGATAACATTCTCCTCAGTTATCTTAGCCATTGCTTCAACTTCCACTCACTTGCTGAAATGGTCCACCACGACTAGCAAAAATTTTCGTTGGCCGGAACCTTGCGAGAAAGGCCCCACTATATCCTTCCCCCATTGAGCAAACGACAAAGGTGAGCTCATCAGCACTAGCTCCTCCTCGGGTACATGTATGAGTTCATGTTGCTGACAATTGAGACACTTCTGCACTAGCTCTCTTGACATAGTGCTCGTTGTTGGCCAGAAATACCCAACTCTCAACACCTTCCCCACCAAAGCTTGTGCCTTAATGTGGTCTCCGCAGCACCCTTCATGAATTTCCTATAACATAGGCACCCTCCTTCTCAGAGACACACCTTAGATATGGTCAAACATATGACCTCGTAAGGAGCACTCCCTCCTGGATAAAGAACCTCAGAGCTCTCCGACCTAACTTATACCTCCGCACATCTTTCTAGCCCAACTCAGCTTGTGTCAACCAACTGAATATAGGGCTTCTCCAGTCTTCCTTCTCCTCTAGCTCCATAACACCCTCCAAGATACTAGACCCCATTTGAATTAGAGTTACTGACCGAGACTACCACCAAGTAAGTTGCCACTTTGGACAACAAGTCAGCTCTCCCATTTTTTAGACCTTGGTGCTCCCACGACTCAAAGCTATTAGCTAAGGCTCGGGGCTCCTTCGCATACCTCATCATCCTATCCTCTTTAGCTCCGTACTCTCCTTTCATCTGCTCAACCACCAGTTGAGAATCTGAACGTATGACAACTTTTCTAGATCCTGCACCCGCCACCAACTGCATCCCCCTCAGCAGCGCCTCGTACTCCGCTTCATTGTTCGAGGCTCTAAACATAAGCTTCACCGCGAACTCAAGTGGCTCTCCTCCTGGTGGTAGGATCAAGACCCCAATCCCAGCTCCTACCTTAGTTGAAGATCCATCCACATAGGCCTCTCATACACCTGGCTCATCTCCCATGGTACCCTCCTGAATAAAGTCTGCCAGTGCTTGTGCCTTAATAGCCCACCTTGGCTCGAAGTTAACATTATACTCCCCTAACTCTACTGCCCACTTCACCATTTTTCCAGAAGCTGATGGCCTACCCAAGGTCTCCTTCAGAGGAAAGTTAGTCCGCACCATTACCACATGCGATAGGAAGTAAGACCTCAACTTCCTAGCTATACTGATAAGAGCTAAGGCTGCCTTCTCCACCTCCGCATATTTGATCTCCACTCCCTGCAACAACCTACTCACATAATAGATAGGCTGTTGCATACCTCCTCCTTTCTTCAACAAGACTGTGCTAATAGCCACCTCGCTCACAGAGAGATACAAGATCAACACGTTCGTCGGTCCGACTTGGTGAGCAAAGGTAGCTCTGCCAAGAACTCCTTCGACTTGACAAAGGCCTCTTGCATTTGCATAGACCATTGAAACTGAGCTCCTCTATGGAGAGCTAAAAAAATGGAAAACTCCGCTCTACTGCATGAGCTATGAACCAGCTAAGTCCTGCCAAACGACCGGTGAGAATCTGCACCTCCTTTAGGCTCCTAGGCAACTGCATATCGAGCACCGCCCTGACCTTCTATGGGTTGACCTCTATGCCCCGCTCCATGACCATATATCCTAGAAACTTTCTTGATTTCACCCCAAACTTGCACTTCACTGGGTTGAGCTTCATGTTATATTTCTTCAAAGTTTCAAAGGTCTCATTCAAGTCACCCATGTGATCACCCGCCTTCCAACTTTTCACCAGCATATCATCCACATAAACCTCCATGTTCCACCCTAGCTGCCTCTCAAACATCTTATCCACCAATCTTTGATAAGTTGCCCCGACATTTCAAAAACCAAAGGGCATAACAACATAGCAGTAAGTCCCCTTTGATGTGACAAAGGTTACCCTTTTCTGGTCCTTCACTGCCAGTGGAATCTGATGGTACTCCTGCGAAGCATCCATCATGCTCAGCAGCTCGCACCCTGCCGTTGAATACACCAGCTGGTCAATGCGTTGTAAAGAATAATGATCCTTCGGACATGCTTTGTTAAGGTCCCGGAAGTCTGTGCACATGCGCCACTTGTTCTCCGCCTTCTTCACCATGACTTGATTCGAGAGCTACTCCGAAACTGGATAGGCTTAATGTGCCCTGCTTGAATCAACTTTTCCACCTCCTTCGCGTTAACAGCATCTAACTCCGCCCCAAAATGTCTCCTCTTCTGCTTAACATGCCTCATCCTAATGTCTATGTTTAGCTTGTGCTTGGCCACCCAAGGATCGATGCCCACTAGCTCCTCTGGCGCGAATGCAAAGATATCCATATACTCCCTTAACAACGTCACTAGCTTCACCTTGATGTCCTCTCCCACCTCCTTTCTTACCCTTGTCACCTAACCCTGCTCTCCCTTTACCAAGGCAATCTCAATTAGCTCATCCTGCGAGATCATCTCAGTTCTGGCCTCTTTGCCTTTGCTCGAGCTCTCCTCCTTGACTTTTCTCGAGCTCTCCTCCTTACACTTTCTCTTGCGACCTGCCTTCAACACCGTTCTGGTAACAAGTCTTAGCTAGCCGCTGGTCTCCATTGACCTCACCAACTAACTCTCCTACCAGAAATTTAATTTTCATGAACCACTTGGAAAGAGTTCAATCCAGGTCGTCCTAATATAATATTATAAGCTAGGTCATCCCCGGCAACGGCGCCAAAATTTGACCGCGCGTCGCGACTTGGCAAATTTAAATTTATAAAGTTTTCCTTGACAAACCCCCACTAACTAGTAGTAGCGGCAAGTAAAGGTCGATCCCACGGAATTATATTGTGACAATCTCGTATTAATTGAATTAAACTATGAAAGCAATAAAAGATGGGGGGGATTGATTTTATAAAATTAAATATAAAAATAACAAAATAAACTAAAAATTAAATAAAATAAGAGAAGTCTAGTTTTCGGTTCAGTTATCACCTAATCTAAGTCTACCGTTATTTAATTTCGACGCTTTATCTAGATTGCTAATGAATTACCAACCCCAGCTAACAACAAGCTCTGTTAATCGAAATTTTTCTTATTGAATATTTAATCGAAATAAGCTCTTCGACTAAACGTAACTAGCGGATGATTGGTCGGAAAAAGTGTGTATTTCATATATTTATTAGTGTATTTTTATATGCTTAATTTTATCGCACTTATATATTTTCGACTTATTTATTTATTAGATGGATTTAAGTGCCATGATATATTTATGGTTTGTTTTCAGCATATATGGGAGTAATTTGAGGACACGAAGTGTTGTACGAAAGTTCGTGCGATCAATTATCGAGCCCGAATACTAGAAAATTAAGGCCAAATGGACAAATAGTGGTTCTTTACTCCAACCGCAGCCACATAAAAATTGGGCCTGGGAATTTAATTGAAGATTATCCAAAGAATATGGGCCAAAGCTTGTGGAGGATTTATTTAGAAGAATTTGCACCCCTTACCATGAGATATAATTAATATTACACTTTTACGCCCATTATATTCTTAATTATAGAATTACAAAACAAAGCCATAAATATTACAATTACACCTAAAATTGTAATGTATCTGTTATTAATGAAATCCGAGCAAATTAAATGCAATTGATATAATTACCAAAAAATCAGGTCAAAGATACCTAATCACTCTGTAAAAAAATCACTCACCGCCCCACGTTCACCATCTCCTCCGAAAAAAACCTATCTTCCTTTTCCCTAACATACTGAATTTGCTTCAATGCCAAGACAAAAATTTAGACCGCAGAAGCCACATATGTTAAACACTCTCTGGACGCCGATGTTCGTATCAGCTTTTTACTTGTGTTTGATTGTGGATTTTGAGTTAATCATTGTTTGCTTGTTTGCTGCAGAATCTAACTACATGGGGACGCGTGTTGATCGAGCCGAAGAAGATGGTTTAAGGCAAATCAATTATTATGTGGATTGTACTTTTTAAGTTTTCTGCTGCGCCTTGATTTGTGTAAATTGTGCTATGCGTTGATTGTATTTCTTAAGTGCTCTATGCGATTGTACTTTTCAAGGCAAATCAATAATTATGTCGATTGTATTTTTTAAGTTCTCTATACACGCCGATTGTACTTTTTTTCTTTTCTTTCTTTTTTTTTAGTTTTGTTGTATATGTGGTGTATAGAGAGAGTATATGTTCAGTATATTAGAAAAATTTTCTGTAAACTGTTCCGTATATGTTGTGTGTATAGGGAGTATATGTTCAGTATATTACAAGATTTTTTTGTTATAATATGTTTTATGATGGAATACATATTTTTCATTGCAACATATACTGAATATATACTAACATAAACGCAACATATACCATCTGGAAAAGTACGTGAATTAAAGGATTTAATAATTTATTATATGCATATTTTTCATTTCTCTATCTTAATCAAGCCCATAAAAAGTGGGATAAAGGTTGAATGAATATGGTAACTGACTTTAGCATTAATGTAGTTATATGTTATCTATTAGGTAGAGATGTAATTATTTATTTATGAATTGTAGGTTTGCAATATTTTTAGAATCTTGTAGGATAGATGCAAATTTTCCATTTATTTATGGGGAAAAAAACGCAACAACATACCCATTGGTGGAGACTTGATTATTAATTGTGAAAAGGAGATTATTTGGGCTGAATATAAAGCAGAGGACACTCACGCCAATTAGGGAGGGATTTATTTACGCAGACAGAAGCAGACCATACGCACAGACGCAGGAAGAGAGAAGGAATAAGACGCGAACAGAGAAAAAGAGGAACCCGATCAATCGCGGAGAGAGGCCCCACCCACACATGAGGGAGATAATTAATCTCTCTCTTTTATCTATTATTTCTTTTTATTATTTACTATGTTACAGTAGGTTTTTATTTCTAGTTCCGGTGATGTTGAACCTTACGACTTGGGGATGTTTGATTAATTTATGTGGTTGGTAATTTCAATATCTTTTTGAAATTGTTTGTGTTATTTTGAATAATTCACTATGATGTGTTAGTCTTGTTTAGATTGATCACCTAGATTAGGCTTTTCATATCTACATCTGAATTAGACCTGCAATCCGTAATTGTTGTTGTGTTTAATTCATAAGAGGTAACCGGAAGATGGTAACTACCGGGGATAACACGGCCTATTTAAGTGAGCGAACGCGGTTGAGTTCACTACTTAGTCTAGCCTATTTTTCTAATTCGTAAAGCGGCTAATTGTATTAAATCTTGAAAATGTTTTTCTGGACTGTACAAGAAATCAGGTTTAATCGTAGAGCGTCTCGCGGTTAAATTAAAATAAAGGAAGAATTCGGGTAACAGACCGTGTCGTTGCCTAGGGCTAGTAATTTCATAAGATAGCGAGATTTGATACCAAAGTTGATTAGACGAGTCGGTTGAGGGTGTAGACGGAACCGTGAACTAGAAGCTTTCTCTTATTTTATTTAATGTTATTTTTATTTTATTTGTTTAGATCTTATTTATTTTAGTTAGTTTAGCTATTAAATCACAATTCCCCCTCTTTAATTGCTTTCATAATTTCAATTAATACGAGAAAGTTCACGATTTGATTCACACTCCTTGTGGGATCGACCCTTGCTCGCCACAACTACTAGTTAGTAGGGGTTAGTTGAGGAAAAATATAAATATTAATTTTGCCGCGTTGCGACGCGCGGGCAAATTTTGGCGCTCTCTAGATTTAATACACTAGCATCATTAATTTCTAGAAAAATAGATTAGTCTAAGCAATGGACGCAAAAGCTTAACTTATGTCCATGCTACCCTAGAGATGCACAACCCCTAGTTTACTACTGACGAGACAAGAATAATAACAATTACGGATTAAAGCCTCGCCCCTAGCAATTAAACTGTGAATATTCAACGTAGCTGACCAAACTAAATCAAACACCCATAATTCATAAACACGATACACAGATAACAGGAATTAACTTATCGACAAAATAAATCGGTGTCTCGATTAATCAACGATAAGAAATAGATCATTCAATTTATAGACAAATCGAAATTAAGGTTCAAACATCCCCTTAAACTGGATAAAAATCCTAGCCTAATATACTAATAAAAATAAATAAGAGATAAAAGAGAGAAGATAAAAATATCTCCCTTGTGTGCAAGTGCAGTTTCCTTCTGCGTGTGTACTCTGGCCTTGTCTCTCTGTTTGCGGTATTGTTCTGAATTAATTTCCTGCTGTGTGTCCTCTCCCAGTATAAATATATGGGGCTCCGCGTGTGTGTTTTGGCCTCTTGGGAAAAATAATTCTTCTCCAGCAATTCCCATAAGTCCTACTCTCCTTAGGACTTTTTAACCAATCAATTTTACTAGTACGTACCCCGTGCGATGCACGGGAGAGAGATATTAAATTAATTATTTTCACAGGCTCTGTCCGTTTAAGTCTGAGAAGGGTTATTATCCAGTTTCCACCTATTTTAATCACCGTTAAGTCTCGTTTAAGTCTGAAAAGAGTTATCATCTATTTTTCACCTCTTTTAATCACCGTTAAGTCTAAAAAAATAGGGTTGTAATATATTTTTCACATCTTTTAATCAATGTTGTTTTATTAGTAAGAACATTAAACGTGAGCATATTAGGGCTAACTTGTAAAACAATTAATATATTATCTCACTAACACATTTATACTAATATAAATTTAATTTTATTATATATATTTATTCCTTGATATAAGAGAAAATAACAATTTTACTTATTCTTATTCACTACATAATAGTTAATTATTAAACTCTGTTGCCATATAATGTCATTATTATTTATAAAGTTATACAAGTTGCACGTCTTCTTGTTCATTTTATTTTATGTAGTGAAATATATTTAATGCATGTTGGTATTTATATAAGTAATCAATTTAAAATATGTAAATAAATTTAAAATTAAATAGTGTATAAATAATGTACAAAATATACACATATATTTTTTTAGAATTTAATTTTGTATACTAATTAAACAACTTTGATTTAAAAAAAGCCATGAACTCAATCTCTTCTAATATCAATATTTTTCTAATTTGCATTGTAATGATTATTTTTGTTATATATATAGATTAGAATTTTTGCGACACCAACCAAACTAAATATCACAACAACCAAGTAATAATTATGAAAAAAACCCATAACACAACAACTATCAATTAAATTTGGTAATAGAAAAATTACATACATATATATAAAAATATGAGGATTCTACATTTCTATTAACTGATGTATACACCACGTGTATATTTTGTTAAGGTATATTGGAACGTTCAATTTCATAGCTTGATAACAATCAGTCGTAAAAAATCAAAAATCTTATTGAAATGCCATATTTTTCTGTTAAAAAAAAAAAGTTCTCATAAAAAATAATTATATCATAGCAAATTCATTGTGTAATTGAACAAATTTCTATAATGAAGACCGATTTTCTGT